AGAGCACTGTCCTGTTATACATAAAGGTATTGTATGTGCATATCAACGTCGCTTTGAAGTGACTTTGTGCATGCACTTAATATRCATTGGCGCTTTTGATGCATATATTCCGAGTAAATCACTTAGATTATGTAAGCGGGGGCAAGTAGATGCACATGTATCAAACATGCAGACATAACTGTGTGGKGTTGTGGCGTCTACAGTGTTTTTGAGTGAGTTATTATGAAATCTTAACAAAGCTTACTATTTGATCAACAGTGGCTTGCCATCAATCATAACTTAAACCTCTCTGTAAAATAAAATTAGTTCGCGCTTGTCCTGGATAGTAAGCTTTCAATCTACTAGCTTTCATGTCTACGATCGAATAGAGAGCAAAAGTTGGAGCCTCTCACCGAAAGTAGTCTTCTAACCCTATGACACCATAGTCAAACCTATTATGTTTGTGGAGATTTTATGAAAAGACCACACTTACAAGAAAGGTCGAGAGCGTTCAACGACCGGCATTTATCAGCATGTGTGATGCACTAAGGTCSAATCCAACTATGCCAATTGGCATWTAGTGCCCATAGATATCRYYGSAAAGTGCATGGCCGGGAAAGTTGCTATCCGACTCAGAGAATYTGTGTTTCCAAATGAWCACACRTTTGAACATTCGRAAATCTTCTCACGATTTGAATTTATACYGGATCTTTTGGATCATGGAGTCGCCAAAATAAACTCTGATGGCTCTTTCCCTGCTCATATACCTGTGAGRGAGCTGTAGATGGGGTAGAAGCCGTTGGAGGAGAGGGACAGCAGCTTCGTTACAGACATCTTGGGCGTATTTTGTCAGAAACTCTCTATCAACTTTAGTTTCTGACTGCTTAACTATTGTAGTATTTTTCAAGCCGAGGTTGCTGTCATCAAGATAGCGKTAGATCTACTGCTCACTCACCATGCATTTAAGGCTGCTTAGAAAGTATTCGACGWAATATCCGATGGGAGAAGCACAGGAAAAGGAATACTTCCACTCCGTAGGAAAGACCAGGTGAAGAAGGACCTGGMTTCACTTTGAGTTTCCATTTGACGCCACTTTGCGAAGAAGAAACGTCTGGTGCGCTGTTGATAACACGGTTATAATCGCATTAGTGGTGACTACGYCAGTTAATAAGAATAATCTAGTTATCAATGGCATCGAATTACTTTGTGATAAGACTAATAAGGGTGCCCGRCCACAGCTGAATCGCAGGTCACTATAAAGGTAATGAGCTGGCTAGGAAGGGTATCCCGACTGAGCAAATTTTTATTGACCACAAGGTTCTCTTAGCATTTCCTTATAATTCATTTTGACTGACATACAAATTCCAGTTTGGCAAGTGACTGAAACTCAAACACAGCGAGCAGAAAAGTGGCAATTCGAAGACAATCGATAATCTTTAATCACAGCTGTTTTGCCAGATGATAAGTTTACAACTGTTATGAAATGTTCAAGCCGAAATTTCTACATTCAATTCGAAACCCGGCACAACACAAAGATATGACGATAGGACAAAGTATGTCACTACGTACATATATATATGGATATACATATATAATATACATATATATATATGAGTATGTATGCAGTTGTGGTATGTACACCAATAAGAATGAGGGAAAATCCTTTGCAGCACTTGTGAATACTCTGCTCCTGAAACTACAAAACTACAAACGAAACAACACGACAAAATGCCAGCAAAGGATATAAAGAGCATAAAACGAAGTACGCCGTATAACAGGATCAATGCGCGCCACAACCAATAGAGCACTAACAACAAAGGCAGATGCATAAAAAAATAGAGCATACCAAACAATAAAAGGGAAAAGGAAAATATAAAAAAACACAACAGCCCTCTTCGGAAAACCTACAAAATTGTATAGACCAAGGGGAAAAGGCAGTAGAAAACAACAACACATAACGTACCTTCGTGCGATCTTTAGGTAGAAGAAGTTAGTATAAATCGAACCACACACTAAATATATACATATATATGTATGTATTCGTTGCACGAAACACGCAATGTCAACAACACAAACAATTTCGCCACTTAAATTAAGCCAGAGTCACAAAACACAGYAGTGCAACAACAACAGGCTTGGCTTGCCGTTTGCTGAGCAGCACAACGCGCCGCGGCGTTAGCACACGTGAAAATATCTCGCAGAACGCGTTTTGTATGCGCAAGCGCAGGCGCACCAGCAACGTAAGCAACAACAACAGCATAAGAACAATAAAGAGCAGCAAAAAAGTTTAGCAACAACAACGCATTCAAAACTCGTGGTATAGGCAAAATGTATTGCGAACATGCAATGAATTTCAAAAAGAAATATGTATATGTAAATGCAGCTCAGGCACCAGGCACCGCCAAATTACACACAAATATAATTGTATACATGTATGTGTAACTTTGTGTGTTTGCGTGGAGGTAAGCAAATAGAGGGGGATAGGGTGCATACATACATTTACMAATATATTTGCGCTGCTTACCTGTACATTCGGCGTCACACTCACTTGCTCACTCAATCACTAAGATATTCGCTCATCAAGCGACTAACTCACTACCGAATAAGTGCGAGCAATTTCAATGTTATGGTCTAAAACCCAGTTAACATTTTGCATGATTGTGAGTGTTTTATTAGTTCTCTTCGATTCGCTTAGCAGCGCAGAGTAGCGAATCGAACAAACTATAACAGATCTTCGAGTAAATAGGCAGCACCTTGCACAAACAAGTCTCGACCAAAAATCATGTATCTTCGTTGTTTTTTTTTTTAAATAATTTAATGAATTTCAAGTCTCAATTTTTCAAAATCGAAGAAATAAAATATTTGTGTCTCAATTTTTGAGAATAATTTATCATTATAACAACAAATCGTTATTAAAACTGGCTTAAAATATACAAACAAAAAATTTTGGTAGCACTTTCATGAGGTATGCACATACTCTCTTATTCAATTTCAATTATTAACCTACAATTTTTTGACAAGAGAACAGCACGGAAAGAGAACGCGCAGTAAAATGGCGAATCGTATGAAGTTTTTATTACCAAAAAATATGTTTTAAAGATGAATATACCACCAGGAGAGGTGCCGCTAGAAAGAAAAATTGCGGTAGTATATAGAATATAGTACGTGGAGAGTTCCTATTTTTTTTTAAGAAAAAAACACAAAAATTTCAAAGTTAATGGAGAATGTTTAGTATTATTCGAAAAAAGCATTCTTTGGCATTTATTTTTTGAAGATTRTCTCTTTCAAATGTTGGCCGCAACTACGTCTCAGATGGTTCGAGCTTTTCGTTTGGTAACCGGCAAATGACACGCATGACGTTTTGGTCCACATTCTGAATCGAAGCAGGATTGTCCGTCCATAGACTTTAGATTTTAAATATCCCCACAGGAAAAAGTCTAACGATGTGATATCACACGATCTTGGGGGCCTATCTAACGGCTGAAAATGTGAAATTATCTGCTCACCAAAATAAATCCATTAATTGATGAGATGTGTRGGAAATTGCGTCGTTTTTAATCAAATGCCGCCGAGATCACGAGCTTTAATTCAAGCATAAATTGACGGTTACSTTCTAACTTGCATTATTTTTAAACAAATATGAACCGATGGATGGACTATTCCAGCGGCTGAGTTTCTTGGAACTTTTCAAAAACGCATAAAGAGCAGCGATGTCACTTGGGAAGGTCGAGCGGCGTCAGTTCTTTCACATGTATTTACTTGATTTGATTTGATTGGTATTTACCATACTATTGGCTTATTTTTTACAGTCAATCGAGAAAGGAAAAATAATGCTCTGAAAATAAATGTGCCTGCAAAGCTCTGTGTCTGATAAATTTAAAAAAAAATCCGAAAATAATCAAGGAAGAAGAAACTTTTTTTCCAGCTATTTATATAACTCACAATTTCTGCTTGTATTTAGGGGGAATAGGCTTAATTCGTGTCAAACAATACCCCTTTTTGGACTTTTTTGTTTTTTTTTTAAATCTATTTTTAAAAACCAATGTTAGATTATAATAAGACATTTGAGAAGAATTTTGTTAATTTTTCATAGACAAATATTTAAAAAATACGACAATGGCAGCAATTATTCTGGAGTGTCTTGGAAAAAAGTTGCTTGCAGGGTCTTATAACTCGGTTTTAGAATTCAAAAAAGGTTTTTTCGAAATTAAAATTGTGTGGAGAAAATGTGGCTTTTTGCGAAAAAAATTAAACAACCCACTTCTATACTTAAATATATCTTCTTTGAACCAAGTTGTGAATAGGGAATTCAAGTTTTTAAGGCGTGAAATAAGGGTTTTAAATACTTTTTTCGCACASAATTGCATTTTTTGTATTCAAAGTGTTGCCAAGAAGTGAAAAATAGTGTGAAGGTGTATGCAGATGAGGCTGGTTCTTCGACTACCTCAGCCGTTACATATAGGATGTATAAGTATATGCTCCAATTAGTAGACATTAATGAAGTTGATAGATTTTCTGATAAAAATTTCCATTAATAGACATTAATGAAGTTGACAGATTTTCTGATAAATTTTTTTTTTTTTAATAATAATAGTTTGCTACAAATTTTCCTACTATAAATCTTGATTTTCCCCCACAGCAAATGTTTCTAAAGCAAATAGTAATTATTTGTACATGATTATTTCTTCAAACATTGCTCAAAAGCCAACTAGGCTACRATGTAAATATAAAAATAAAAGCAACAAAAACATAACAAACCAATATTTTTAACACAACTGCCAYRTATCGATGGTGAGTGTGAATTGCCTGCATGAATGACTAAACGSCGCGCTGACTCACTAACTCACTCAACGACTTATACGTCGCATAGTGCTGAGTGTTTAGACTGGCTTGCTGCCAGTCAGATGCTCATATACTTCAATATGTTTATATGTACACCAGCATGTAGTTAATATTGCTGCCGGCTGTGCGCTTATATTCGTCGTTGCTATAGGCCCAGGGGAACGAAGGAAGCCACAAGCATTGACTATGCATGGCTGACTTAGCTGGCGCGCACAAGTTGAACACAATCTGGCAAAGGCGCGCAGCCGCAGTTCTAAAGGAATACGCGCGCCGTAAAGTACTACGCGTAATGTGGCACGGATGAATGCGACTTAACATACCTAAATATATACATAATTAGAAGGAAAGGAATATTGTGTTCAATGAAGGTATTGTTTGATATGTGATAGATACAAAAATAAAAAATTGTATAATTTAGCAACTAATATTATTGTATGCAGTGCGAAAAAAATATATTACAACGCACACATGCATACACATATGCAAAAATTGTGTACCTTCCGCCGCATCCTTAATTGAAGCGACAAATGTGTGTAGCAGTTAGTGCAACAACAACAACAAATAAGCATAGTGAACTCGTGCGCTCATTTAGCCCTTCGCCGCAGCTGTTAAATTCGCTTTAAACGGTCACACATACATACATATGTACAGCTATAAGCTAACCGCGTCGCGTTTAGGGGATCGAGCACGCAAGTGAGTGTAGCGCATGCGCGAGTGCAAACCCAACGAGTAACTAAACTACCTTACAACAACACAAACAAAATCTACTCAAATACATATACTTTTGCGTAAATGTATATGTATGTATGTATATAACCCGACAATACAAAAGTAAGTAAAGGTATTGCAATAAGAAAATTAGGGGGCTCTTTCCTGCTGGAGGGGACTGGTGATAATAGCGGCAGCTGCTATTTTTTCGGTTACTTCAAAAAAATTAAATTTTATACACGTGTTTGTGTGCAAAAGTGCATATCAACGAAAATATTTACATGCTTACATCTATACATACATGTGTTGGCACGGCAGCTGCTTGAAATGAAATTGGATTTGCGGCTAAAAATAACCTACGCTATAACAGGAATACAATCTTATTTGCTATTTGAAGCCGACGAAAATAAAAATAATATGTGTAGTGAGAAAATATAAGCGTTTATTTATTACAAATTTTGCTCATAATAAACTGAAAGCCGCTTTTTGCATATCAAATTGCGTTGCATTGGTGAAGTTCGGTGAAAAAAATGTTTCATTTGGTGTACACAAGTGATACAAATGTCTCAGATGCATGAAAAAAATACATAAGTTTATATATATTGTAAAATTCCTCAAATGTACATATAAATGTTTAAAACCCACCCTAGTGTCTAAAAAATGCAAATCTAGCAAAATCAACAACCCTAAAGTTAACTAAAAGTATAATCAAAATCATTACAAAGCTAAATTGAGTGCAAAGATACCGCTATAAATATAAAAATCTATAAAATACCAACAAACAACAACACATATTCCATTACATAATTTTTTCGCAATAAAAAGTCCAAAATGGCCCACAGTCTACAAGGACAACAGTTGCGCAAGCCAACTGCCTACGTTGCCGGCATGAACTGTAGCCTTTACATAATTATGAGCACATTGACAATGTATCTAGCAGCACTGCAAGTGGCCACCGCATTGCCAGAGTATACACACTCGCATCAGCGGCATCATCGTCATCAGCAGCATGGCATTGGCGCAGCAAATTCCACAGCCGCAGGCAGCAGTACGAGCAGCAGYACCACCACCACCGATACCGCTGCCACCAATGTGTCGTCGTTGGGCATGCATCACACCAATTGGCGTCGCATCGAAATGATGGATGCCAATGGCCTGTACTGGCTGGAGTGGTGGCTRAAAGGCACCACCTCGAAGGAGATACACTTTCGTGCTACTGTCAATACACGTGGCTTCATTGGACTCGGTTTTGCGCGGAAGAATCCCCGTATGGCCAATGCTGATTTGGTGTTGCTGTGGGTCGATGATCGCACCGGCAAAGCCAATGCGCTGGTGAGTTATAAATACTTATGTGTAATTATGTGATTGAATATGCCAACATRCTAATATTAGGTTGTCAAAAAAGACTTGCGGTATTTTAATTGAATTTTCAAATGTTCATAAAATTTTGTTTGATGACTCATGCCCAGCTCTTGATCAATGCTACGGCTGCTACTACGCCGGTCTATCGTAGTAGTACTGTAAAATATGGATTATTTTTTCTTTATTTTGCTCCATGTTTGCGACGCCATAACTCACGAACGACTTAAAAGAAACGACAATCAATCAAACATGTGTTAGCACTTGCAATGAGCTTTCCAAAAAGGTATAGCATGACCCGATGCGACGAATAAAACTAGAACTACGCGCTCTCAGCGCCAACTAGCGAAAATACCGCAAGACTTTTTTGACAAACTAATATATGAGCATAATTTTGGTGACTGAATAAACTTATTTATAAGTATATATTACTATGAACAGAAGATTTCAAAATTTCATACATATAAATGCATATTTTTGGGGAACGGTAAACAAGATTGTCAAAAGAACTCTTCATTGTTGGGCTGTAAAAATATACTCAACGTTCATTCGTTCGGGTTGTTCTAAGATTTTTCCAGCTTCTTAACTTGATGTGTGGTTATAAAATATCSCGTTGACATCCTTCCATCTCGTTTGCATATCCTCATCCGTTTACGCCACTTTTCGTTGACCCGGTGTTGTCTTCGAACTCCTCGAGCGTTGCTGGTTGATKGACGTAAACCGTTGATTTCACACCTCCAGAGAATATAATCTACAGGCGTTAAATCACACGATCTTGGCGGTCATTTCTCGGAATTAACAAGTCGCCAAAGTTTGCACGCAATGTATACATATTTAGACATGGAATCCGAGGTGGAGCAACGTCTTATTGGAAATGTAAGTCTTCCGCGTCAATTTTATCAAAGTTCGCTATAAAAAGTCGGTCACCATCATATTATAGTGCACGCTACTGATGGTAACGGCATTTCCTGCCCCATTTCGAAAGAAATAAGGCCCGATACTGCTGCCATTACAGCGACTTTTTCAGTCCTCGAAACACTCTTCAGAAGCAGTGTTGGAATGGCCTTCGGTTCCTTCAGCGAATTTTACTTTATCTCTTCGATACACTGAAAACGGGTTGCACGAAGCGGAAGCTTCAGTTTGTGAAAAAGTAAATCTGGTGATTATTGTGGTATCTATGGCGTTTTTTGGCTTTAAATTCAGGGACAATCAGCGCTCGATGCGATGGTGCGTTATCATCGTGTAAAATGCATGAATTGTTCTTCCACAATTGCGGACGTTCTTGATGGATGTTTTTACTCATACACCTCGCTACAGCCAAATAGAATTATTTATTGACCGTCTGTTTTTCCGGAACAATTTCATGATGAACCAAAGCCACGAGTATCGAAAAAATTGAGCGGCTTTGGCGTGGGTTTTTTGGTTTCGACTCGTTTTCCCCCTGGTTTCCAATGATTGTTGACTTGTTTGTATCTCAAACTCATAAATTCATGTTTCWTGGGCAATTATAATGCTCTCTATGAATATGGGTTCGGACTTTGTRCGATCAAGCATGTCCAAAGAGAGCTGTTGACGGTATTATTTTTGAAAAAAAAAAATTATCTTTATCGGGAKGATTCGAGCAAGGACGCGTTTCCTACCCAAAATATCCACCAAAATCATTCGAACGGATTCGCGAGAGATGTCGAGCTCTTTTGCCATCTTTAACACTTTCGATTTTCAAGCACCATWTYCTTCATTGTTTTAATATTTTCATTAGTTGAAGAGTTCGAAGGTCGTCCAGAACGATCTTCAACGATMTCTCGACCGTCTTTGATGGCTTTGCACCACTCCTAGAYTTGTATTTTTAAAAGTTGAATCACCGGGAGCCTTTTCCAACATTAAAATTTAATAGAATTAAGAAAGTGAGAACATTTTATTAATTTTAAAAATTTTCACACGTAAACAACATACATACATGGATACATACTTTAGGCTTCTTTTTATAAAAACACCATTAAAATTTTTTCACACACCCTTGCAGCTACTTCAAATTCCCGTACTAATAAATAACACTTCAGAAGCTGGTATATAAATACATATGTATATACCCACATATACTTGTACCTAGAAACAACACTTTTAGGCATTCCTTTTGTCTCCTCACACAACAAAAAAAGATTTGTTCACAGTCACTGTGTTTTTGTTTGTTTTGTCAAATCAGATACTCTTATTACCAGCTACTCCCATTACGCTTCAGTTGTTTCCAACAATTGCCTCACTTCTCTCTGCTTATCGTTTGCGTAGCCTAATAGACGCTGAAATGCAAATTTTTGCTTAATTTTTAAGGGCTTCCATCCGCTGCGCTGTTAATGCAGTGGTTTATTGTTGTTTTTAGTTTGCACACAACAAACAATGTTTTATATTTTACTCTCCTGCCTTTTTATTGCACACTCATTTTACGGCGTTATTCGATATCAAATCGCTCCAAAATAGCGAGTCATAAAAAKTCCTGCGTCCAAACACGAGTGTATGCATGTATGTTGAAGTTTTGACGAAATTCGTTAATTTTCTCATTCAGTTCAACGTCAGTTTTATGTTGGCTTCCCTGTATTATTATATACGGGTGTATTTGTGTGTGACTTTATTTGATCTGTCTAGCGAAAATATTCAGAAACTGTGTCAAATTTAAGCGAAGCAAGTTATACCAGAGTGTAAAAAAAAACACAGTGGGAAATATTTTTACAGATTCTTGGTAGAATACTCTCATTTTTCACTAATAATTAATGGTTCTTATATGGCTTCTTAAACCTCGAAGTTGTTTAAGGTAGTGACTTATCTCAAAAAAACTTGTTTTCTATCAAGCTGCTTATATTTTAATCAAATCCCATTTGTGCTTGGTTCTTGGTACATAGAGTTTCGACATTTTTTGCGAATATTACGGCGACCGCAGAACTCCAAATCAAATACCAAGCTATTGTTGAAAGGTTACTCCTTAGTTATATATCTCGGATCTAACACAAAGTTTACCGCTTTTGCGCCGAATATTGAAATATTTTCTGTTTTCAACTTAAATCCCAAGCTACTTGTTTTAATATTGTTATGAAAATAGCTCCGAAGAACGCGCCATTCTTTGGTTTCTTCTGTATTCCAGTTGGCCCGGACAGGTCCATCTAAACGGCGGCAGTTTCGACAACAAAAGAGTCACAGTGAGCCAAATCGTACATAGTATGTTTGATATGTCAGGGTCTATTCTGGATAAGTAAGAGTTTAACCTGCTACAATATCCATAATRAAGCTGCGAAAGGGTCACTCCCACAACTCGAGCTCTTCGTCGGCAATGGGTGGTGGTTTGACTCCAAGTATGCCGTCAACTTAGAGGGAGTCAGTGGCGATGTTAATGGCTCTACTGTGAATGGCGGTCAATGGATGACTAGAGTTTRTTGCGTCCGAAGTTTGGTCGGTATATGGTTTTATATTGTGGACGTAGTTGAGGAAGGACCACTTGATGCATCTGGTTCCGYTGCAAACAGGTGACTGTAGGCATAATTTCTGCGAAAGTTGTTACAGTTGCAAAATMTTTCGTAATTTACTTCGCTCAATAAAATTAAAGTTTTTACAAAAGTACGGCTGGCTCTTAATGGCTAAGTAAGCTTGAGACTAAATTTTTTCGTGGCATTTCGATTTTTGATCTTATTGGACAACTAGATTCTAACTCCACATCCGAAGGGTAGTGATCATGTGCTTTTCTAAGCGCCATTCCACCATTGTCCTTTTTACTTTCTTCCTATAATTTAAACCTCAGATGGGTGATCCAAATGTTGTTTAAGACTTTATTGGTGACTTTTATTTACGAGGAATCGTAGAGAAATTTACAGGCATTAATTAAGTTACACTAAGTTAGTGGCGCTCGCTTGATAATCTTTAAAGAAGAATCAACCATTATAGCAGCCACCTTCAAAACTATATTATACTGCCTATCCGCAATGAAGACCAAACTTTGTTTTTTATAAATCTATACAAACCCACAGCCTATTATTTTTTACTCAAGTGAGAGCTCGCTTTACCCACTTGCATTTACACAGTATGCATATGTGTAAGTATGTGTGAATATCAATGTGAGAGAACTCAGGTGAATAAATTCGTGATTAGTGCAACTGGAGCTTCTATGAATAAGACCATGTTCGCTACTAATATTGTGTTAATATTATTTACATATGGTTATGTGTGTGTGTGTATGTGGCAAAGGTCTGCAAGATAAAAAGCACACTTTTAATTACAACATTTGTATGTGCAGAGGATATGGAAATGTGTGCGGATATGAGCACAGGAATATGAGTATTATTTAACAATGCTTGCGTGATACAAATATACACATAAATATATATGATGCAAAATTTATGAGTTTGTCAATACATACATATTTGAATAAATATGTGAGTGYCCTATAAGAACTTTTGTAGCTATACGTAAAAGTATCTAGGTTAATATGCTTTATAGATAGGCAAGCAAAAACGACTATATATTCGTATATTCGCATAACATATCAAAGCAACAAATTATTCCACAAAAGAGTCAAATTTTGTCATTCATTAGCTTTTGTTGAGATAGAAAGGCTAGCCACTTGCTAGAGAAATAATCTCATTTTACTTATGTATACACACGCAAATATGTATGTATATGTACTTATCTTGACAGTTCTATACTTGTAACTACTTGTATTTTACCTGCCTGCTTTGCTGATGCTCATATTSCCGCCGTCATACACGTACAATGACWCAACTTTGGCTTAATTAGCCGTGTCCTCTCGTTATTATCATTACCCATGGCAGGATAATATGTACAAACGTTTGACCATTTCTCAGCAATGTGCAAAGATGAGATGTGATAAAAGTTATGTACTACTACACACAAGCGGAAGACAGATAGCACAGTAATTAATTTTGCCAAAATTAGCAGGTAGACGAGAGGCTAGTAGAGGAAAATTACTAGTT